CTCTCCCGGCTATCCCGGCGTGGTTTGTATTGAACAGAGAGGCAGATTGGCTGGATTCGAACCGCTGGATCCGAACCACTGGGTAGTGAATTAATACTTGGTAGGGTAGATGCGGTCAAGGCCCTTTGGGAGCAAGCAACGGAATCAGTAGGGAAAGAAGAATATTATGGCCTGGAGAGAATGAGGCACCTGTGTGTAACCAGAGGGTCTGGCCGGCTCACTACACTCAGAGGAAAGGCAAGACTGACTTTTAACCAGATTGTGACCGGTACCATCAGTATTGGAACTCTGCCCTGGCTGCTGAAGATGAGGACGGAGCATGCATGGAAATGTCCCAAGTGCTGTGATGTCAATTCTAGGATTCAGCTCAACTCAACTATCTTTCTATCTACATACCTTCTCACCTACCTAACTATATAACCTAAGCAGATAAAGACTTACATTCGTTACATTGTTCTAATTGTGCAAAGAATTATATTGTTAAATATTATATATGTTATCTATATTATAAGACTTTAAATATTGTAAAATCTCCAGTAACTAAAAGAGTGTCCCCATCTGTTAGTTTACAACCACAACAAGATGCGACCACTAGGACGCTTTTTCGTCATTGCCGTTACATTGTTGGTCATCGTAATATTGCCAGCCAGGAAGTATTTTTGCGGTAGGTTGTTTATTGTCTGTGTAAATACATCTGTTTAAGTAAAAAGCCAACGGTTAAAACAAAAGCCCTTGTCGGTCAGGCTGTGTTTTTAACTCTCTTCTTTATGGTAGTGAGACGTGGTCGATATTTTCAGTATCACGAGAAACAGTTTTTACATAGATATCGAAGAGGAATACTCAACATCAAGTGGCAAGATAAGATTACAGACATAGAGGAACTGGAACAAACGAACAAACGAACTTTTTTTTCAAAGTGTCACAAATTAGGCACGCAGACCAGTCTTACGCTCGGCCCTTTCAAACACACGTCTTTCACACAGTAGTTGTATTTTATCAGTCATCATCATCTTGTAGCAGGTCCTTTGCAGAACGTCGCTCTCATCACAGTCTGCCTGAAAAAAACTCGGCCTCTCGCTAGTTCTCCCGCCTCGTGCCATTTTGCAGTCAAAGAGTCAATTATATCCTGTGCCCATCTTCGTGTCGGTCGGCCCCCGCCCCTCATACCTGGTACCATGCCTTTTGCTATAATTTTTTTCCAATCTGTCGTGGCGTTTGATATGACCAAAATATTTCAGTTTTTGAGAAAAGATGCTGTTTATTAGCCAATCTTCCTTGATGTTCAGATCTTTTAAGATGTCAATATTTCTCATCTTCTTTGTCAAATTTTATCAATAAAGAATGTTATATTCATCTGATAATATGAATATTGTTAATTTCAAGGGGAAAAAACACCCACATAATTCATACACACATTCACATATATACATACAAATATATACTTACACACAAATACACATAGACTCCATACACATATATACAGATACACGCATGCACACACAGGAAGAGCAGTATTATAACAGTCGTTCTCGTTGTTTTGTCTTCGAAAACTCAGAGTCAGTAATGAATTTCTGTACTGTGAGTTACCGTGAGGTAAAAGTCGCGGTCGACTCTACTGTGACATGGACGTGTGTGCAAGCAAAGCATGAAAGATACAAAGGTAGATTTGTTGGAACAGGGTGCATGGTTCGTTGCATGGTGGGGACAAATCAGGTACGGAATAGAGAAAAGGGGGGAAAATGTAAATAGTCTGAGAGTACAAATTGTGAAGGTCTTTTCTTAACGCAAGGCTGTCATTACAATGTCTTTTAATAGCAGAAAATCATGAGAAATATTGACATCTTAAAAGATCTGAACATCAAGGAAGATTGGCTAATAAACAGCATCCTTTCTCGAAAGCTGAAATATTTTGGTCATATCGAGCGCCACGACGGATTGGAAAAAAATTATAGCAGAAGGCATGGTACCAGGAAGGACGGGCAGAGGCCGACCGACACGACGATGGGTACAGGATATAAGTGACTCCTTGAGTGTGAAAGTTCATGAGGCGGGAGAACTGGCAAGAGACCGAGTTTCTTACAGGCAGACTGTGATGAGAGCGACGTTCTGCAAAGGACCTGCTACATGATGATGAGATATTGTTAGTTGCAAACATTGCATTTTGTAGTCATTGATATCACTTTAATATTAGTAATCTTTTTTTTTTTTTTTTTTTTTTTCATTTTAAAATGTACCTCTCTTTATTAACATACATTTGATGCAGACATGCAGAATAGCGACGAAAGTATTCGAACACCTGTGAATGCTGGCATCACAATAGTAACTATGTACTTAAATATCGGAGGATTTCAGAAACATACAACACAATTCACACCTCAGACTTACAAGAGATGGATGACAACCTGGAGTTGGCTGACCAACAGAGTGATTGCCTTTTTCGACAACGATGAAGACCTGGAGACATTCAGGTAAAGTGAATTTTCAGGAAGTTAACACTAGCAGCGACCTTCGATCATTTCAGGGTAGTGTTAAATCGGTATTGTTATACTTAGCAACAACACAAAGAATAAGTAAAACAGAAAACTAGCTGCAATGCTTCCCCTGCCAGTCAGAAATAACACTGCAATTTCTGAGATTTCAACTGTCTAGGGGCTGCATGGTCTCGAGGCATGGTGTCCGCCTCGTAAGCGGGTTCAAGCCCCCAGTAAGGAGTGGGATTTCTTCACGTGGACTTCGAGAAATTTGCCCTGGCCTCTGGGTAGTGAGTTCGGATGCCCTTGTGTATTGTTGCGCTCGCAGACAATCCCTTGGCGTTTGGAAAAGGAAAAGAGTAGCCTAACGGCGCTTCCCGGGCATAATATGGAGTTCAAAATCTACCCAAAGCATTTCAGGATCCTCGCCGGTGCTACAAAGCCCGTGTACTGCGGTGAGCTTCTTCAGATTCAGAAAAAGAATAGATCACTTATGGATTACTACCTGTGTGCCATGATGTTGATCCGTTGTTCAAACCTCAAACCTAAACTGCCTGGATAGAATAGACACACAGTGACTACACACACTAAACGTCCCAACAGGTCGGGTAAAACACACTTTAGCCAAGATATTGTAAACTGGCTATTCAGTCAGATGGTGAGGTCTCCTGTCGCCTGTCTGTAGTCTGTCCAGGAATTCTCCAACTAGCATCATTACATTCTGATAAACTGTATACGTTAAAATAACTACTGTCGGAGCACAATGAACAAATGATTTTAAGTGAAGGACTTTCCCGCGTGCTTTTGGGGCTACAACTCCTTACCTGCACATGACTGCAGACTACACCTGTGTAGTGTAACCCCGGTTTCTCCGATTATAAATTTCTTTTTTTTTTTTCAACGCTAAACAGGTTACGGTGAATTTGTTTTGATGGTTTGACATTTAGAATGCGATTCTTGAAATCTTAGGAGTGATCACACTACGTGGCATTAGGAGTAAAGCATACACTACTCTTGTTATAAGTAGGTAAATGTTCGGCTATTTTCTACTTCTTCGTTCAGATTCAAACGTCAGTCTTAAATTTTTTTACAAATTAGAACGAATGTGAACTTGTTGGCGTTTCCGTTGAATGTGTCTTCAGAAAATGCTACCATACCTTCCCCGGCTCTGTACTGGCTGGATACTTGTGTAACACAGGTGTAGCCATCATTTGCCTAATAGTAAAAAGTAAATAAAGATCCCTGTTCAAGCCTTTAGGCGCATCGAGCATATGGGAAGAGCACCCATATTTTTACACACCAATCGGCATTCGGTGGGTAATGTGGTCAGCATTACGCCGGCTGTCTTTACTTGCCCAGGACAGCCATCCTGGTACCCATTTGAGGCTGGGTCGACCTGCGACGTCCCATATCACGATAAAAATCCACGCATCCCGCAGAGTGTTTCGATTGCGGTACTTTGGATTACGAGTCGGACTCGCAACGCCTTAGCCACGGACGCTATTTGCCTAATACATCATCTATATTCATTAGTCTTCTTTTTCTTTTTTGATCCTTTATGAAAGCTATCGTGTAATCTATATCTTCTCGTGTGCCATACAGTTATGTCTTCGTTATAGATGGAACATGCTAGGTTGCATCTCTGCTGTTAAAAAAAACAGATGACAGTGTTGGATCATATGCTTATTTTCGGGTACAAGTTGCAGGGCAAGTTTCCGTGTTTCTTACACCAAAATGTTTAAATATGTGTTGACGCAGTCTGTTATGCCCTATCCTTAGTCTGAATATAATACATTGTCCATCTCTAGAGAGGAGTCTTGAGAAGAGACTTGGATGTATGTATCTAGCCACCTTTCTTGGATATTAGATTGAATTAATGTCCTAGTCTCTTGGTGGGTTAAGTTACTATTTGGTTTTACCATGTCACTGTTAGTTTCTCCTGTTCATTTTGTTAAACAAATGATAATCCGGTCTGATATGCCCTGTGTGGAGTCCGAGTGTTGTCTTTTTTTTGATGTTGTTGTTTTTTTTTTTTTTTTTTTTTTGTGTTCATTTGTTTACAAAAGAGATGAAAAAATGAATTTTGTTGCCGCTCCCCCCCCCCCCCCCCCACCCCACCCACACCCACCAGATGATCTGATTCTCAGGTTTGTTTATGCTTAGAAACGTTTTGAACTTTGAACTGACAAGTCATCTTTTCATCAGACTGAGCACACCAATAAATGTTCTGTTCAATCAAATATTAAATGTTATTTGGCCTTTACTTGTATCTGTGTACAGAAAATGGTCCATTGCCACAATTTCTTTTCGTACATACATGGAAGGATGTGACAAAGTGTAGGAAGTCGCAGACCAGCAACAACGAAAACAACAACAGCAGCAGCAGAAGCGGCAGAAAAGAAGAAGAAGAAGAAGAAGAAGAAGAAGAAGAAGAAGAAGAAGAAGAAGAAGAAGAAGAAGAAGAAGAAGAAGAAGAAGAAGAAGAAGAAGAAGAAGAAGAAGAAGAAGAGAAGAAGAAGAAGAAGAAGAAGAAGAAGAAGAAGAAGAAGAAGAAGAAGAAGAAGAAGAAGAAGAAGAAAGAAGAAGAAGAAGAAGAAGAAGAAAAAGAAGAAGAAAAAGAAGAAGAAGAAGAAGAAGCAGAAGAAGAAGAAGAAGAAGAAGAAGAAGAAGAAGAAGAAGAAGAAGAAGAAGAAGAAGAAGAAGAAGAAGAAGAAGAAGAAGAAGAAGAAGAAGAAGAAGAAGAAGAAGAAGAAGAAGAAGAAGAAGAAGAAGAAGAAGAAGAAGAAGAAAGAAGAAGAAGAAGAAGAAGAAGAAGAAAGAAGAAGAAGAAGAAGAAGAAGAAGAAGAAGAAGAAGAAGAAGAAGAAGAAGAGGAAGAAGAAGAAGAAGAAGAAGAAGAAGAAGAAGAAGAAGAAGAAGAAGAAGAAAGAAGAAGAAGAAAAAGAAGATGAAGAAAAAAAGAAGAATAAGAATAAAGAGGAGAATGGGGAGGGCGGGGGTATTTTTCTTTTTATTCAACAAACGTAATTACCATTCGATTCCTCAGACAAATTAGGTCACTACTCTCAGCAGATAGAACTGTTTTAATAAAACTCCAGAGAAAAGAAATACCAGCTTTCAACAAAGTGGAGAAAATCAGGACTATATACAAGAACTCATCGTACCCAAAACATTGGCCAAACACAGTTGTCGCTGAGTATTCGTGCGCCATGAATGCCAAATATGACGTCCTTCAAATGGCAGTCCAGAGAGGCCTTGTACACACCGAGCACATGGCATGGTTGGATATAGGCTTGTTCAGGTATCTGAAGACCTTGTCTCATGCCTATGTTCTTGTCTCAGTTGCATCACTCAGCCCTGTGATCACATTATGTGTGTCTTTTGTCTTCCATTTGCCTATTTCTTGTCAAGTTTTTAATTTGTCAAGTCTGCATTTTAAATTTTCCTTGGTTTTTTTCAATTGGATTTTCATGTGTTCATTTTTTTTCCTAGCGAGTTTTCTTCCTGTTTACCTCCCTATCCTCCTTTCTCGCCTCTCTAATAGTATACCTTTTATCTTTCCGTGTTTCGACTATGTTTCTTATTTCAATTGTTTTACTATTTACTTTCATCTTCGAACTTTTCTTTTTTTAACGCGAGCAAATTTTCGTCATCCTCGCTACGTTATTATATGTTATCTCTTTTTGTGATGTTTCTTTCTTTCTTTCTATTTCCTTGTATTATTATCTTTTTCCATATTCCTTTTTTCTTCAATCAGTATATATCTCTTTGCCCTCCTTCCTTTAATTCGGCATCCAGGTACACTTCAATCACAAGCAGCTAACGTGTGATTATAACACTGAACACCTGCTAGGACCAGAAACCTTCTATACAACACTGAAAACTTGATAGGACCAAAAATCTTCTATATAAAACTGAACACTTGTTGTGGCCAGAAATCTTCTTTATAACACTAAACACTTTCTAGGACCAGAAGCCTTCTATATAACAGTGGGTATATAACACTGAGCACTTACTAGGACCAAACACCTTGTATTTAACACTGAACAATTCCTAGGACAAGAAACCTAGTATATCAGACTAATTACTTGCTTGGACCAAAAACCCTTTATATAACACTGAACACTTGTTACTGCCAGAAACCTTCTAGAGCCCAAACGTCGCCCAAAAGACGACCGCTTCAGCCTGGACGTTCCCGATAACTTCAACGCCAGCACTGTTGGTATGTCCATGGTGACACCCATGACAGAACTGTTAAATCTGAGCGCATGGAATTACATCAGGGATAACCGGGTCTGGGTTAGTGGAGCCTTCGTGTTGGCGACCAAAGAAGTAAGTCGTCTATTTACACATTTTCCTTCTGATATAGTCTACAGTATAGTTGGAAATACGTGTAGCTAATCCCCGTGTGGGTTCCGGGGCCTAATGTAGGGTAAAAAGAATAGACCCACAGCCTACCCAAAAGAATGTCGCAAGAGTCGACTAAATGGGAGCTTCATTCCAAGTCGGAGTACATCTGCCTAAGAGCCAAGGAAGCCACAGTCTGCATGCAAATGAGTCAGACGTGTAAAACGGATGTGTACGCAACACTCAGTTTCTGGAACAGGACTAGAGTCCAGAAGTAGACGTACAACCAGAATCTTCTGCTGGAGTTTACAGCCGGTGAATACGAAGAAGAAGAAGATTTAAAAGTGAGTATTAATTAATCATTACAGAAGATTGTAGTACACTTTACATTATAATGGTTTACAACACTGCTTTATTTATATAGATAAATCTTCTTCTATCTTTTTACTTCTTTCTATGAGTGCCGATCAATACACTTTCTGTTACTCGATTAATTCATAATATTTAACGGCCTCAAAGGTTCCCTCTCTGTTTATTTATAGGAAAGACGTATACACACCAGAACCTACCAATCAAATACCTTTCTTAAATCTTTGTGTATTCTAAACAAAGCATTAAGGTCTACTGTGTTCGTAAATTGTTGCTGTGATTGTTATTCGACATTTGCTTCGTTAATATAAATTTATGTAACCTATGGTGCCATTTCAATGGGTTGAAATGAATTCTGTCCGTATTCCATAGTCGTGGATTTCAAGCTGTACGATAGACATGGCCAATAAGACACCTTTTTCGGGGGTCCCTAGTTGACCATGTTCTTAGTGCACTTGTATTCATGGCGAGGCGCAGACGCCGTCTGGAGGTGACAGGTTCGATTCCCGGCACGGTAACTATAGCTTTCGATTTTTATGTTGTCTATTGTGTTCTTCTTTCTTACTTCTTCTTTCTATGAGTGCCGTTCAATACACATTCTGTTACTCGATTAATTCATTTATATAGACAAGGTCCTAGGCGTAATAGTTTTCGACTGTATTTAGTCATGGGTTACACTCAAACCGACCGTCGAGGCCTAGAACACGGGAATGTCAGTTGTTGGTCCAAAGCCACAGCCAAAGAGCGCCGAGACATGGTTATACAGCAGATCAGGGACAACGAAAACGAGGTTAGGGTACAGAAAGCAGCCCAACAGTCGCAGCAAGGTCAGTGGATCAGCCTGGAGAGCGACTTGCCAGGAGTACTCACATGGGGTGAGATCTGGCGAATAGCCCCGCTACGACTGAGCTTCATCGTTCGATCTGTCTACGATGTATTACCGTCCGGTGTCAACATGGTAAAGTGGATTGCGACTAACGACCCGACATGCTCGCTATGCAGAGCTAAACAGACGCTCGAGCACGTTCTGTCCGCTTGCAGAAAAGCCCTAGGCCAAGGCAGGTATGCTTGGCGCCACAACAAGGTGCTGAAAGAGTTAGCAGCCGTTGTGGACCAAGCTAGGAGGAGGGCCAATGCGAGGATCAGTCTTACCGTCGTAATCTGGGCAGATTAATAAAGGTAAATTCAACAAAGTCGCATACGCTCCATCGATGCTAGACTGCGAGGGACTGGTTACTGGCGGTTGACCCTGAGTTAATCCGGAAGACTGGCCTGCGACCTGACATAGTTTTCAACTCTGCGGAGAAACGTCAGCTCCTCATCATGACTGAGCTGACCGTGCCGCATGAGTCGCGAATGGACGAAAGCCACATGTATAAGCTCGAGAAATACGGTGACTAAGCGGCTGGTCTGAGGAGAGACGAAGCGTGCTCAGTAAGAATCTTCGCCGTCGAGGTAGGCGCAAGAGGTCTCGTTTCCACTTCACTCTACAGTGTGATTAAACAACTAGGCTTACGAGGAAATAAACACAAACGAACACTAAAACAACTTGGCGAGGTTGCTGAGAGGTCCTCGGGCTGGCTCTGGACACAACGGAACGTCGTGGGGGAGGGGCCTCAGTGAGCTGGTCCGGGTGTCTAGTGGAAAACAAATGTCTTATCCCTTAAAGTCCATCGTGTCCAAATTGTCTGCCAGTGTCCCTCTGCCACCTGCCAACAAAGTCCAACATGTGTCCGGTAAACCAAACGTAAGCTTGCCACTTGGTCGTCCAGGTAAGTAGACTGCTTTAATTATGCTACCGCAGCGACTTCATATCTCACAGTACCTTTCGCAAAGTCACCAATTCGTCTTTTCCCTGTCCGATAAATCCGGTAATACGTGCAGCAGGAGAAACCAACCCTGAGCATTATGAACTCATGTGGGCCCACTCTCTGAAAATGTCTAGAAGCTCGTGGTCCGAAACATCTGTCGTCGAGAGATTACTTCTACTGATGATTGGTAGTTTCATGCTGTACATGCCCTCTGTGGAGTTTCTTCTTACTTATAATCTACGCATTGAAAATGTCGTTAATTATAGTGTGGGCTCAGACCACTGTCCTGCGACGATCTCCATCTTCAAAATTTTGGCCCGCGAGCAAACCTAATTCAATAGCCCTGGTCTACACAGTACAATGTTAGTCGTCATGCAGTCCACAACCGTCTATCCATTTCTGTTTTAGTCACCAGTCTCCTTATGGTCATGCTAGAAGACATTGGCCGATAATATCGCGTTTCTTCTCTTTCTTTACGTTAGATTTCGTATGCACAGGTCAGATCGTCAGGTGGGTTGCCTCTGTGAAATCGCTCGTCAGCTGCTGAACCTACATGGTTCCCCAATGCTTGCTCTGTACATTTTGCTCTTGAGGCCAGGTTTCTTTTCGAAGTTGTAGTTAAAATGGGCAGGTCTATAGAATGTGCTTATATGTTTGTGATCTTGTCTAACAGGCACACTGTGGATATTATACAGTCTTCTTGTTTTGTTTTTGTTTAATGCATGTGGTTCTTAAGTGTGGTTCGTAGACGGACAATTGTTGTATGTTGCTTTTTGTTGAGTCTGCTGATGGCTTCTTGTAGATGTTTAGTGCTGGTTAGTACTCTCCACACTCCCTTGTATTTTCCCTTGACACGTGTTTTGGTTTCTGATAATGAAATTTGTTTAACTAATACGATCAGAAAAAAAAATTAATTACAAAATATATCGCCAGACGTATTTGGGTGTATCTCGTCAGGTGCGTTACATCATCATAAAAAGGAGCATAGTTCATTAGCTGTGTATCATACAGGACGTTACAGAAGCAACACCAGCATTTTAAGGCTGTTGTGGCATTTCCAGGTAAGTTTACGTCCAACAGTTTGCATTTGCCTTCTGGAGGTCGGCTTCTCGATATCACTGTCGAAACCAACGCAAGATGCAAGGCCCCCAGCTGGGATCCAACCCGGCACCTCGGCATTACGAAGCGCGTTCGCAACGCCTAAGCCACAGACGCCGACGAAAAGAAGCACAAACACTGAATTAAATCTATGGAAACATAAATAGTCACGCTCGATACAAACATGGTACTACTAATCGTCTATAGTTCAAGATTGCCATCTGATCTACCCGGATAACTTATAATTTATAAACTTCTTTTGTTTACACAAGGGCGAAATTGTTTCCTTTTTTTTTAAGTCATTATAAATTTGAAGTCACATGACTATCGTAACCGTCTGGGGTTTGGACGAACAATATATAAAGAGAACGTTTTTGTGTTTCAGTGGAATTAATTAATTAGTTCTCCCCATTATATGTTAACATATTTATGTAGTAACAAACCTGACAAGATACAGCGACATATGCCTGACACTGTTCCCTTTGCGCTGGCATCATTTAAACTGACTACAGGAAACATGGTTTTGATTAATTTATTTAATTTATTTATTGTCATTTTTATTAATGCTTTATATAGTTTGTAACTATATGTGTCTCTTTTTGTTTAAATGATCGTTGGGTGTATATTAGGATATCTGAATTATCTTAAGATTTTTTTTTTCGTGTTTATCTTTTCTAATACGACGACCAGTGAGATAAGTCGCCATATTTGTCTACATTTCTTTGTCCCTCTCCTCACATAGGCTATATGGTATACCTTTGGAACTTTCTCTATGCGATTTCTTCTTCCACATGCATGTATGTTTATGTATGTATGTATAGTCGTTTGTCATTATTCATTACGGTTCCGGCATTACAGCAAACGAGCTTGGCCCATAGTTGCTCAACCGCCTATGCCAGTGATTCTAGTCACTAACTGAGTCAGATACTTTGGATACTTCAAGTGAATGTCGTAGCCATACAAAGTGTCCTCAGTAAGCAAAACATATGATCCGGCCAACCATAAGGTGCATGCCGCCTTTAACACACTGCGAGGTCAAGAGTCTCGCTGAAAATCAACTTCATTCGACGAATAGTTGGACGATGAGAAGATTAAAACTATTCCTGACCATTCTCCAAACGTCCTCAGCCAAGTTGCAGCCACGGCCAGCAAATAAATAGCAGTTATAGCACACGCCTTGTCCCAGAAACACAACGAAGAAAAATACAGCACCCATCATTGTTATTATGTACGAATCTGGAACTCAGTTAATAACCAATGACCACAGCTCATAGTGCCGATAGGAGCACTAAACAATCTTGCAACATCGAAACTGGAGGAGAAACGGCGACGAGAATGGTCAACAAAAGCTAAGTTCTCAACCGTCATAATTTCACTATCAATGTCGGAACCAAAATATTGCAGGAGTTATGTATGTATGTATGTATATATGTATGTATGTATGTATGTATGTATGTATGTATGTATGTATGTATGTATGTATGTATGTATGTATGTATGTATGTATGTATGTATGTATGTATGTATGTATGTATGTATGTATGTATGTATGTATGTATGTATGTATGTATGTATGTATGTATGTATGTATGTATGTATGTATGTATGTATGTATGTATGTATGTATGTATGTATGTATGTATGTATGTATGTATGTATGTATGTATGTATGGATGGATGGATGGATGGATGGATGGATGGATGGATGGATGGATGGATGGATGGATGGATGGATGGATGGATGGATGGATGGATGGATGGATGGATGGATGGATGGATGGATGGATGGATGGATGGATGGATGGATGGATGGATGGATGGATGGATGGATGGATGGATGGATGGATGGATGGATGGATGGATGGATGGATGGATGGATGGATGGAGGGAGGGAGGGGGGAGGGAGGGAGGTCTGTCTGTCTGTCTGTCTGTCTGTGCGTACGTGCGTGTGTGTGTGTGTGTGTGAGTAAGTTTTATGTGTGTATGTAAGTTTGTACCAGAGATGGTCAAATATATGGGTGTCGCATGTGAGCGCCTTCTACTGAAGGTTCTGCAGGCAGCCTGGTGTAGTAAAAAAAATACCAAAAGATTGGGAAATTGCCATCATTATACCTATATTTAAAAAAGGTGATAACAGACAATGTGAGAACCACAGAGGCATATCCCTCATCAGCGTTCCTGGTAAAAGTTACTCTAGAATTCTTGAGCAGAGACTTAGAAGTCTGGTAGAGCCACAGCTGGACGAGGCCCAATGTGGCTTCAGAGCAAACCGAAGTACTCAAGACCTTATCTTCACACAGAGACAGAAGAGTGAAAAAACTCTTGAATATAAGAGTGAAATGCACCTATGTTTTTTGGATCTGGAAAAGGCATTTGACAAAGTACCCTGGAATAAGCTCTGGGGCTGCTTGGCGGGAAAAAAACATTCCAGAAACCCTGATCAGTGCAATACAGAGTTTCTACAAAAGCTGAAGAAATTATGTAAGAACAGCAGACCAAAAGTCAGAAGAATTTAAGACCACCAGCGGTGTTAGACAAGGTGATATTCTCTCACCTTACAACTTCATTCTTATGATGGGTGATGTCATCAAGACATGTAAGGAGAAGACAAAGAAGTACTCTGTAGGGTACTGGAAGATGAGACCAAGCTGGCATTTACAGATGATGTAGCCCTGATAGCTAAATCAGAGGCACACCTTCAGTCCAACTTACTTGTCTGGAAGGAAGAGCTTGAAAAGAGAGGGATGACCATCAGTATCTCCAAAACTAAAACCATGGTGATCTCAAGAGAGGAGAAGAAACACCAGATCATGATGGGACAGTATGCATTGGAGCAGGTTAACCAGTTCAAAAACCTTGGAGTTGTATTAGACTGAAATGGAGGCATTAAAACTGAGCTGGCTACACGAAAAGCAGCTGCTGGGAGACTCTTCCAGGCCATAAACCGAGGGTTTCTTAGCAAAAGAGAAATTGGCAAGAGGACGAAAATGGCTGTTTACCGCTCTACCTATGTACCAGTCCTGACCTATGGGTGTGAGTCATGGGAAATGACAACAGCTCACAGAAGCCAGCTGCAGGCCTCGGAAATGAGATATCTGAGAAAGGTGGTCCAAGTGACAAGAAGGGACAAAGTCCGCAATCAGACAATACGTCAAGATCTTGATACCCAGTCCTTACAAACCCGAGTGGATCAGTCACAGTTACGATGGTTTGGACATGTATGCAGAATAGGAGAAATCGGCCACCATGGCAGGCATGGGAGGCTAAGAACCAGGGAACCAGACCTTCAGGACAACGCAGGGTGCGCTGGGAAGACAACATCTGACAGTCCCTAACTGACAGAGGACTGGAATGGAACAAAGCCAGAAAGAAAACTGCTGATAGAGACGTCTGGCGATCTCTCTGGCAAACCACTACACCCCAAGGTAGAAGAGGAGCGACTAAGTAAAGTAAAGTATGTAAGTTTGTATGTATGTATTTATGTATTAATTGTATTTATGTTTGTATGTGTATAGGTATGTTAATATGTATATATGTATGTTTGTGTATGTTCCAGTGCAATTAGGAAATACAAGATTCGTTGGCTGAGAAACATCTCATTGACACAGTTCATCTAAATGATCAGAAGTCGATTTCTACAACATGTGGATAATGGGGTTACGTAAACAATGTCTGATGAGGGTGCCACAATTAACTATACAAGCCGATGACATTCACAGTTTTTGCGACAGACTTCACCCAAAGAATTTCCACCATGCACTTAAGGCATTATGTGGCTCTTTAGCGCCAGCAGGACCACTTCCTCTACTCTAAATATATGGGAAAACACCAGCCCTAGAAAAGTCAATATTATGGCAAAATACGGTTTCTCAAAGACATTTATCACGATTTTACAGCGACTGCATAACGGATAGAATCCAAGAGAATGGAGTTTCTTAACCTTTTTCTGGGTATATGTGTATCTAGTCATGTGTGCGTTCCTGTGAGAGTTTGGGTAATTTTATTTGGATGTATGTCTGTTTATCTCAGCGCCTGTCGCTTAGGCGTTGCGACTCGCTTTGTAATGCCAAGGTGCCGCGTTCGATCCCAAATCCGGAGGGCTTGTTTTGCTTAGGTTTTGACAGTGGTACCGAGAGCTGGCCGTTTAGAAAGCAAAGGCAATTTACTAAACGTATAATATGCGTAGAAAAACCACAACAGTTAAAAAATGCTAGAGTTGTTCCTGCAACGTCCCGTAAGGATTTACAACTAACTAAATATGTTTGTTTATGCTAACATATGAGCATATGCGCATCTGCGTGCACGCATGAATCAATAGATGAACATATAAATATATATATATATATATATATATATATATATATATATATATATATATATATATATATATATATACTACTGGGTATGGGTGGATAGATGGACAGATAGAGCAATGAATCCTGAGAACTGATTTATCTTATCGTATTTTACTAGCTCCCGTTTTTGATCAAACTCAATCCGACTGCATTTCATTTGAGATTTGAGTCAGGTCAGTTTATGTTAATGAACTTCACAATTGGCGTATCACTATGCTCTCTTTTTATCTTATCATAAAATTACTAGGCTAATCCAGAAGGATCAATGCTTAACTGGTTCTGTCTGTTCTTTCAGGTAATGATGAAGTTTGCCCGGTCATATATCATGATGGCCAACGAGTTATTAGACAAAAGGATGTCCAGTACTGACCAGCAAGTGATTGGGGCCATGTACTCTCCGGAATACATCGACCGCCAGCAAGTGGACATAGTGGACTACAGGTGCAACAACGGACAGTTCGGTCTCTACAGATTCGATATTATTTATTTCTGTTTAGGCTACGTCTGCAAAGATGCGGCAGAGAAACAGCTGAATTATAACAAAAATTAGATTATGGGAGGATCTCAAATATCATAATGATGTTGTTATTTTTAAAACAAATATGAAGTAGATAACACAAACACACACACACACACATATATATATATATATATATATATATATATATATATATATATATATATATAATATATATATCCATATATATATATGTATAACTATTACATATTTATTATAAATACAGTACATACACACACACACACACACATATATATATATATATATATATATATATATATATATATATATATTATGTGTGTGTGTGTGTGTGTGTGTGTGTACTGTATTTATAATAAATATGTAATAGTTATAAATAGATGAGCAGAACATCAGAACACATGAAAGAATCAAATGGTTTGGTCATCTGGTCAGAATAAAACAAAATCAGCCAGCACCTAGAGCCTAGTACATTTGATCAGCTGGCTACAAGGAAAGGCGTTGATTAAAAGAGACATTGCAGAAATATAATATGAAATTGTATCACACGCTACGCAACTAGCAAAAGAAGGAAACTACAAATAATTCCTCTGTGCGACGCATAAGCAAAAAGACGCAAATAAACAGAAGAATAGAAAAACAGAAAGCATTAAAAAAAAGCGGGAAAACCAAACGCCCCTATCGTTTTAACACCTACAGCATCTATAATTGATTTTTATTGTTGAATTGTACAAGCCATTCCCCCCCCCCCCCATGTTATTTTACGTTTATTCCCCCCCCCCCTCTTTTTTTTCCTCCTCTTTAAAAAAAAATCTGGAGTGGATACGCTCACCTACGGATACGAAGGTCGCGGGTTCTAATTCCAACAGAGCCCAACATTAAAACAAAAAAATTAAACTAGCTCCCATCTCGATCCTGGATTAAAAGGGTGCGAGGTAAAGTCCTGGGAAGTTAAAGCCACCTGACCGGTGGTGATCACATGGCTCCCAAGTGACGATTGATCTATAAAATATAGGTCTAGCCAAAGAGCCTGTAGATATGGAAAATGTATCCTTTGCTTTCGCCTTTTACCGTCCACATCCAGTTTTAGGTCTTTCGCGTCCTCTTTTGTTTTTCAGTCTGACGTCAGCCGGAGCGACGCTACTAAAGTTAATTCAAAAATCTTCTTTATCGCACACTGGACATGATCATAAGCGCTCCGACCTCCTGAGTATGTCTTCAGGTGTTTTTAGGCTAACAACTCCCATTCTTTTCTGGTTGATGTAACGACGAGTGGCTCCCGCGTAACTTTCCCGTCTCACTGCTCGACTTGGCACACCCAGGGTATGCAGCCTATTCAATGAAAAATAATTGTCAATGAACCTGACACCCTCACAGCGTTTAGTCTCGTATGGCATTGATGATGTCTCTCTCGACCATAGATGGCCCAGGCCTGATCTTCGCACTGATAGCCAGAGCGTCACAAGGTAATGACAAAAATGCTTAAGCCGTCCTTTTATATTCTGAGAAACTGTCTATCTATTTGTCTTTCTCTGTGTAATGCAGTTACGCGTCTCAGGCACGGCTAATGATCCGGTTGTGGAATAGTACGAGCTCGTTATCTTGCTGCATGGCGTATTGTCGAGTTTCAAGAAGTTGTTAACACAATCCACCCAGGTTCTTCATGTCTTCCTTTGGGTCCAGATATATTCATTTCCATCTTGTATGCTCTCGCAACCGGGGACGCTGGGTTTATTCTATTTGGGGGGGGGGGGTTTGGGGGGGGGGGGGAGTTTTGGGGTGTAAATCAAATTGAAAGTTTTGTTCCTACCATTCTAATGAAATCTTCGTTACTTTTATGAGCTGAACATTAAAGAGTGAGCAATGAACAATGTCTACATTAAAGGCAAACTTAACGTTGTTGAAATATGTAGAAATTGTATTTTGAGACAACCGTATGTCTTCGCTTAGGAGCTTCCTTGGTGTAGCTGCTAAATGCTCGATTGCGGAGGTTCAAATCTGCATAGAGCCGGCTCCCAGAACCCTGACTTCATGGTCGGCCTAGCCTTACATGGGTATCAGGTAAAGTCAAGGGAAGTAAAGGGGGTCGGCGTTAGGTAAATCATATCACCTACCTATATCTGATACGCCAGCTGAGGGGTAAAGGGACTTTTTTATGGTATTACTTGCAGTTGCCACACAAGTTTCGGCTTTAAAGAAGGGACGTAACAAATACAATACCCTGCGCTAGCAAGAGTCAGCGTATCCTGTAACTACAAATGGGAGCTGAGTTAGTGTATTGTCGTGAATGAATGAATGAATTTCTACCCCACCAGGACATCACACAAGCGATAAACACCCGATGACACAAAGTGCCACCATGTGGATGAGGATCACCGTGGAGAGGACCCAGAAACCGCGTTCAGACAATTGGCCATATTTATGGCCTGCCTATATTGCGGCCCCTGGCAAAAGCCAGAGTGGGGCTTCAAATAACAAAAAATTACGTCCTAAAAAGGACGTAAGGATAAGAAAGCAGTGTATTTTCGTGACGCTCGCTGTCTTGTCTACTGTCTAAATCTACACCATTGGTGGACATATTAATAACAACGGAGATCGGGTCGCCCATTGGCTGGCCGGTAGACGACTTCTTCGCCGATTAGGACAAAAATGTGGCTCTGTCTCCTTTGATCGCATCAAGAGGCAAAAGTTACTTCAGAGCTACTTGGTTGCGAACAAAGCTAAGACATTATATATGGCGCACGTAACCTAGTGAGAAAAACAAGCTAAAGTTTCCCTTTCGGTAATGCTGGTTGAGCAGAACTATTTTTGTTTCCGCAAAGAAAACAAGCAGTTTGATAACCGAATGCGCCTAAGACACGTATAGACGTTATCAGTCCAGTCACTATTGTGAATTTTTTAAGTAGGAGATCGGAGCACCCATGTATCTGCAACAATTAAAGTGAAAGAATTACTCTTTTCCACGCCTTTATACGTGTATTGGGCATATAGGGCTAGAGCTCAATTTTATAGACCAACGTGATGGTGATGTGATCAACATCCCGCCGATCGAGTTTATTTCCCAGGATTGTGCCTGGGACCCATTTGAGGCTGGGTCGACCTGAGAGCCAAGATAATTTTTTTAAGAATCAGTCCGGCTCTGTCAGAACCTGAATCAACAGCCTTCCTATCCACAAGTGAGTGTCTAGCTGCTACACTACGACGGCTCCCCCTGTCTGAATTGCTGTAATGATTGCTGTAATGATAGTTGTCAGGAAATCTGAGTAGATCTATGGTTAGTTGCGTATCATTTACAGGACGTTGCAGAACCAACACAAACAGCCCCTGGTCGTTGTGTGGTTTTTCTAGGCAAATTTACTTCCAGTAGTTTGCCATTGCTTTCTGGAAAAGTAGATCTATACACAACTTAAATTGTATAACGGTAAAGATAATGACGAAGACAACGATATTAATGATGAGAAATTACGACGTACATGGTAAACTGTAATTTTGAAAACACATGTTGTATACTTAGCAATAGGTTAACTTTAGAAAAGCTAAATTTGAGCGTAAACCTCTAACAAACGATTACGTTTTGTACATGTGCCTTACAGAAGAGTTGTTAAATATAACAAGTTCCTGCACGTGTAACCGCACGCTTTGACTGTTTATGCTTACTAGTGATTAAATGCAACATTAATGCAGAAAATAAAATAGACTATTATTCTGATGAAAATAATAATATAAGGTGTATGTAAGATATAAACAGAAATGTGTGGCATGTAGGCATACAATTGGTGTGTGAATGCGTATATGCTTAAGTGTGTGTTTATGTATGTACGTACTTACGAACGTCTGTCTGTCTGTCTGTCTGTCTGTCTGTCTGTCTGTCTGTCTGTCTGTCTGTCTGTCTGTCTGTCTGTCTGTCTGTCTGTCTGTCTGTCTGTCTGTCTGTCTGTCTGTCTGTCTGTCTGTCTGTCTGTCTGTCTGTCTGTCTGTCTGTCTGTCTGTCTGTCTGTCTGTCTGTCTGTCTGTCTGTCTGTCTGTCTGTCTGTCTGTCTGTCTGTATTATGTGTGTATGTATGTATGTATGTATGTATGTATGTATGTATGTATGTATGTATGTATGTATGTATGTATGTATGTATGTATGTATGTATGTATGTATGTATGTATGTATGTATGTATGTATGTATGTATGTATGTATGTATGTATGTATGTATGTATGTGTGTATGTATTGTATGTATGTATGTATGTATGTATGTATGTATGTATGTATGTATGTATGTATGTATGTATGTATGTATTGTATGTATGTATGTATGTATGTATGTATGTATGTATGTATGTATGTATGTAATGTGTATGTATGTATGTATGTATGTATGTATGTATGTATGTATGTATGTATGTATGTATGTATGTTATGTATGTATGTATGTATGTATGTATGTATGTATGTATGTATGTATGTATGTATGTATGTATGTATGTATGATGTATGTATGTATGTATGTATGTATGTATGTATGTATGTGTATGTATGTATGTATGTATGTATGATGTATGTATGTATGTATGTATGTATGTATGTATGTATGTATGTCTGATGTATGTATGTATGTATGTATGTATGTATGTATGTATGTATGTATGTATGTATGTATGTTATGTATGTATGTATGTATGTATGTATGTATGTATGTATGTATGTATGTATGTATGTATGTATGTATGTATGTATGTATGTATGTATGTATGTATGTATGTATGTATGTATGTATGTATGTATGTATGTATGTATGTATGTATGTATGTATGTATGTATGTATGTATGTGTATGTATGTATGTATGTATGTATGTATGTATGTATGTATGTTATGTATGTATGTATGTATGTATGTATGTATGTATGTATGTATGTATGTATGTATGTATGTATGTATGTATGTATGTATGTATGTATGTATGTATGTATGTATGTATGTATGTATGTATGTATGTATGTATGTATGTATGTATGTATGTATGTATGTATGTATGTATGTATGTATGTATGTATGTATGTATGT